TTCTTGCAGTACGTTACTGTTTTTTAGTCAAAAAGTTTTTCAGAAAAATATGGTCCAGATGATCGTCGGAAAGAGTTCGGTTTTGAAAAATGGACAAATTCATGATTATATTTAACTCTTTTAATAACAGCATCTGTTCTAGTAATATATTGTTATAAAAGTATAATTTATATTCATTCCTTTTTTACATTTCTTTTAAAGTTTATTGGTTACATAAACAGTTTTTTCTATAAATTTTTGTACAAACTAAGCACACCAAACATGTTGTGCAAGTATTCGAATGAAAATTTAAAATTGTTGGTATTATTGTTATGACAGACAATCATATAATACATAGCTTATTTTATTATATAGATAATGCTGAATCAATAACTTAACTAGATCAGCTGAAAAATTATTCAACAAATTTTTATAGATGTTCCAGGAATTATTAATTTTTATTTTAACTTGCAATTTTGTCACTTTCATCACTTGGTGGAGTTTCAAACTCTGTTTTAGTGGAGTTTGAATTTTGCCAATTTCGCAGAAATGTGAAATAGCAAAGTCACATGACCTTACCACTAAGGTGAACTTTAAAATCTCTAATTAACAGAGTTACTTATAATACACTAATCTTTGTTGCTATTTGAAATAATGAAACATGCCCCATAAAATACTCTTGCTTACACAGGAGTATTTCATAGGGCACATTACTTTTTTCAAATATAATAGAGATTAGCATATTATAAATAGGAAGATAAGCTACACTGAAAATTTTCATATAATATTTTACTCAAAAAAAGTAGCTTATTTTTAGACATATGATAAATTGTATAACAAATAACTATTATTTATATTATAATTTTTATCAAAGCTATTAATCACTATTATTCTATATTAATTTTACATTTGTTTGTATTAAAAGTTTAAGATATAAAATGTTGCTACTATGTAAACCCATTAATTGCTAATCTAGATAAAATTAGCAGAATTTTTATATTAGAATTTGAGACAAAATTCTTATAATTTTAACTATATGCTAGAATCTGAGCAAAGTCAAATAAAAATTATTTTTTTTATTAAGTTAACAATTAAAGTAAATTAATTAAAAGTTGTAGAGCTCATTAAGGCATATCAATAGTAATTGGATCATTCAAATTGGTCTAGTAAATACTGAGATATTACTAAAAAACAATTTGCTAATTATATAAAATTCTATATAAACAAACTATTGTTTATATGAAAATTTATATATTGTAGTACACTGCCCAAAAAACCCGGGATCTTATACAAAAACCCTGGCAAAAAACTTACAAAATACCCGGGGGTATCTTGTTTTTTACTGGGTCAAAATTTCTAATTTTTATCAGAGTTACATAATTTTGCGCTATATATTATACCCGGGTCTTTTATATAGGGCATTATGAAAGGGGTCTTTTAGGCAGTGCACTACAGTAGTTAGCTAATTATTTTTTTAGTAATATCTTAGTATTTATTAAGCCAATTTTAATGATCTAATTACTATTAAATATGTCTTAGTAAGCTCTACAATTTTTAATTGATTGATTTTGGTTGTTAATATAATAAAAAATAATACTGTATTTTGTAGAGTAAAATACCTGAGGTATTATAAATTATTTAATTATATCTAGGTACTATACTAGGGGGTATTATAATCAAAGCGAGTACTATACTAGGGGGTATTATAATCAAAGCAGGTACTATACTAGGGTGCTATAATCAAAGTGGGTACTATACTAGGAAAGATGCTATAATTGAAGCAGGTATTAGACTAAGAGTAAAATCATTAATTAATTAAACTTTATATGATTATTAATAAGCATTTCAGTAATAAATACATCATTAAATTATTTATTAATAATTAAATAAATAAAATTGTATATAAAAAAAAATTGTATTAATTTATAATTTTATAACAATGACCAGACAAACTTCATCTATTAGAAGAGTATGTAAAGCAGTTTCTCAATGTCATTCTTGGTATGCACGTAAAAAGTTAATAGTAGTTTATTATAATGAACAAGAAAATTTATTGCATAAAACAGCAGCAAATTTTAGAATTCAAAGAAAAAAAGTTCGTGAATGGGTTGCAAAAAAACAAGAATTATTAAATTCAGTACCTTATAGATTAAAGTTACATTCTGAACATCATGCAACTTATCCGGAGCTTGAAGCAAAACTTGTTGAATAGATTACTAGTATTAGAAATAAAGGAAATGCTATGTCACGAGTTATGATAACCTGAAGGGCTAAAGTTTTAGCAATGGAAAATGAAGATCAATATCCAAATATTGATAATTTTAAATTTTCCTCAAAATGGTTAAATTGATTCTTATTTTGAAATGAATTTTTAAATTGTAGACGAACTACTATTGCCCAACATTTGCCTGCAAATTCAATTGATAAATATGAAATGTTTTTAAGTTGTATATTATACAAACGGCAAGAAAATAATTATATATTAAGCAATATTGCTAATATGGATGAAATGCCTTTATCTTTTGATCTTCCAAATACAACTACAATAGATCAACATGGATCACAAACTGAACTACTGGCCATGAAAAAAGTTGGTTTACTGTTATTTTTGGATGCATGGCGAGTAGTTTAAAACTTTTACATGTTGCAATCTTCAGACTTAAAAATATTCCATATGAAAATTTTCCAGATAGAATATTTATTCATGTTAATGAAAAAGGGTGGTGTAACAAACTGAAATACAGTATTGGATTAACAATATCTGGAATAATCGACACCTTCTTATTCTTGATTCTTTTAAAAAGCATTTTACAGACTCAGTTAAATCTAATTTTTTTGACAAAAATACTGATCTTGTAGTAATTCCAAGAGGACTTACAAGCAAATTACAACCATTAGATGTAAGAGTTAATAAAACTTTTAAACACAAGATATCTAAATATAATTCTGTATAAAATTTTCTATAATTATTTATTCATTAAATTATTTTTTTATTTAAATAGCTTCAGAATACTATAATAATTGGCTTAATAGTGATACAATTAAAATGACACCAGCTAGATAAATTTATAACCATCCTATTCTACTATTGCATTATGGATTAAAAGTTTATGAGAAGAAATTGATCCAAATTTAATTAAAAGATCATTTAAATATTGCGAAATTTCTGATGATATTAATGAATTTAATAATCTTAGTAAACTTGATGATGAGAAAGTTAATGACGAAGGTGATGCCAATGAAAATGTAGGATTTTATAATAATATCAATAGGCAAGTTTATGACAAACAAGAAATAGTAAAAAACAAGTGAGATTAATATACATAAAGGTAATATACAAATAATGATAGAAAATTGCAAAATGCTGCATTTTTTGTAAATTTGCAGATACATAAATATTAAATACATATCAATATATATATATTAATATTTGTCATATAAAGTTAAATAATTCAACTATAGTACATGGGTATTTTATAAAGCAAATATATTATAAACCATGCATAGTACCTGGATATTTTATAAAGCAAACATATTATACCGTATAAGCACGAAATAATGCTCTCCTGCATGTTAATTGATAGATTTGCACGTTATTTTGAGTACACGCATGTGCATTATTTCGAAATAAGTAAGAACTGATTTTCAGAGCCAAATACTTTTAAAATAACGCTTATGCATCTTGAATAGTGTAACCATCATAAGTGAGAGCTTTTTATTGTCATGCCAAGTTTAACTCCGATGGTTGATGTTAGAAGAGTCACATGAATTGGGCAATAAATTATGCTATTTGGATATTTATGATTTATTATAAAAAAGAATGTGAATATATGTGATATTTATTTATTGAAAAGTTTTGGAGAGCGAATATTATTCTTAACTAAGGATAAAAACACATTCTATTTATATTCTAATTTTACAGATAATCAACATTAGGATTTCAACGCTTATGCTATAGATTCCATATTTGCTCAAGGTGCAATGATTACAAGTTTATACAAGCGCATATGAGCATAAACACTTTGGCATGAAATAAGCTACCAAGAATCCATAATAATGCCTAATACTACTATGATGATACAATTATAAAAGGTAAGTGATGACTTAAATAATTAAACAAATATAGAAGTGAGGAGACACATGAAAAATTAATCGTTACAATAGTGAGATCCAAAGACCTGTCACATAGCAACTTACTAGTAGCCCTATAAAGTTTCACATAATGGTATTAGATATTCATACTAGTTTCATTTTATACTACAATAAAATACTAAGTTTTATAGCCCAGATCAATGATGCAATTGAATTGTCGTACCAATCAATTAAAGTTATATCGGGCGTGCGTTGATTTGAGATGCGCATGGGCCCTAATTCGAGACACTATATGCTATTTTGGGGGTGCCAGAATTTCAAAATAATGCACATGCCCATTATTTCGTGCTTATATGGTAAACCATGCATAGTACTCGGATATTTTATAAAGCAACTAAATTATAAACTATGTATAATACCTGGATCTTTTACTCTGAAATTACTAAAAAAGAAAATATAGGTATTATGCTAGGGGTATTTTACTCAACAAAATATGGTAATTTTTATTTGACTTTGCTCAAATTCCAGTATATAATAAAAATTTATATTACACTTATCTCAAAATTTACTATTGCCCTAATATAGTAATTATGCCAATCTTATTTAAATCATCAATTAAATAAGTTTTGTAAATGAATTATTTGAGAATTAGAAAGTTCTTTATATTTAATGAATAGTTTTTTAATATTAACCAAATTAACACAGGTTTATTTACAATAATTTATTTTTGCAAGATTGTTTAATTATTTTTATCAATTTTAGCAACTTTGAAAAAGTTTAAGTAAATTCTTTTTTGAGAAGATTTTTCATGAACATGAGACATTGTTTTGAAAAAATTTTTTTATTCAATTTTTTTTTTGAATTTATAATCATAATATTATTTTTTTAAAACATTTGCTATCCTTACTTTAGATCTTAAATTTGCAGCTTTTTAAAAATATTTGCATGCTTTATTATTATTCTTTTTAACACTGATTCCTTGTATATAATATTGGGCAATATTAAATATTCTGCCAAATTAGCAAATTTTTGATAATATTTGATTATTTTAAAATTATTTTAAGTTTCAATTCCATCTTTATAACAATAAATGTTTTTCTTTAGATCCAATTATGCAAGTCTTTAGTAAATATGTGAGATAAGAACCCAAGCTATACATAAATAGGTCAGGGATTACCAAAAAGAAAATTTTTTACCAAACATTGTGTTTTTAAATAGTAAATTTTGCAAATTTGAACAAAATAAGTATTTTTAAGCCAAATTTTGTATAAAAATAAGCAAACAAGTCACTGACCTATTTATGTATAGCTTGGGGCCCTGTGAAGTGTCATTAATCAAAATGTGGGGTGTCAGTAGAAACCAGACAAATTGTTTTTAGTAAATTTTTTTAAAACTTTAATTTAAAATATATCAACAACTATTATATCAAACTTAATATTTTTTATTTATTTTAATTCTATAACTAAATAGAATTAAAATAAAAAATTTTTTATCAAGTTAATTTAATAATTGTTGAAATATTTTAATTTAAAGTTTAAAAAAAATTTACTTAGAAACAATCTGTCTGGTTCTACTAACACCACATGTGTTGTATAATCTAACACAAAATTATAAAACATTAGAAAATCTAATTTTATAATTATATAATAATTTGGTATAAAATCACTATTTGTTTATAATAAGTCCTAGCAATTTTCTATAGCGTCCTTTTTTTTTCCAGAACTATTAATTTAGTGTAAAGAAAATAAATTGAATTTTATATAATGAAAGTTATGTAAAAAATTCATTAAGGTGCATTCGCATAATTAAAATTATATGAATGCATGTAATAATTGAAGAATTAAGAAATTTTTTAAAATTAAATGTTAAAAATTATTTAAATAATAAAAAAAATTTTTTTTGTTTTATAAACTTAAAGACAGTATAAAGACGAACTAATAGGCAAATTTTAATGAACATGAATAATTGGTTTATAATAATTTTTAAAGAACATCGATTTTTATAAATATGAGTATAATATTGACTAATTTAAATATGTTGATTAATAATCGAATTATGTATTAGAAAATAACAGTCCAGAACAATCAAAAATAGTATGATTTATATAATAAATTAAACATTAGTGTATTAACAAACCAAATATCTCACATCCTGGTGGAGCTATTGCACTAGATCTTTTCTTTAAAAGTAACATCAAACTCCGAATAATCTCTGTGTATCTTTCATCAACTGATGCTACTAGATGTAACCTTACCAAAACACAGTTATTAACTGGATATTACAAGCTCAACAACATAACTTACAACCTATTATCTTAGGAAACTTTAACACATATGACACTGAGTTTAGTTTTTCCTCTAAGTTTAAACTCATTAACTTTCTACACTGCTCTAACATGTTTGACATTGGTGCTTATTTTAACAATACACACTCTATCTGGTCTAACAATACTAAATCTAGCAGAATTGACTATATCTGAACTAATACTTTCAATATACAATTTCTTCTTTCATACAACCTTGACAATAGCAAAACCTGCACTCTTAGCGATCACTTAATCCTTTCTACCTCCTAGACATTTCTTAATGCCTATAGCAAACCACCTCGACTTCATACCAATATTAGTCGTCGAATATTTGATTACAAGGCCACCTCTTGTAAACAATAGCTCAAGTTCTCAGAGCTCACTATACAACTATTGGTTCGAAGTCGTGTCCCAACTACCATAGATACTAATGAAAATATTGATACAACATGGCACAAAATCTAGCATAGTATCACACATGCAGCATTTAAAACAATCCCTAATAAAGTCTCTCACAAATGAAGCTAAAATCATAAATACAGTCCACAATGCACAGCACTCTACATTGGACTTAAAAAACTTGGCCATCTTATCAAAACTTTCAA